CGTTTTAACTAAGAATGACAGTTCTTATTTTGATTAATTTGTCCATTTAGGAACATATGCTGGTTAGGTATGTTTTGACGCTGGGATGCTGGTTTAAGCTGGTCCTTTGCTGGTTTATGCTGGTCCTTTGCCAGCACGTGACCAGCATAAACCAGCAAAAGGACCAGCATAAACCAGCAAAGGACCAGCTTAAACCAGCGTCAAAACATACCTAACCAGCATATGCTGGTTTTTTTCAACAGGGGTGGCATCCACTGTGCTGACATGGTGGAAATGAAGGCATTATTACCGTATTGGAAAATGATTGTCCACATGGTGAAATATGAAGCCAAGAAAAAGAGACATGTTGCTGAAGCAAACTTCTGTCTGCAGCAGGAATGTCTTACTTCTTGCAGTCTTACATAAATGTTTCTTTTTCCCATTACAGTAGCTGTGTAACAAAAAACACATTTCACCCACCACTTAAAGCAATAGCTCACTCGAAAACATTTTGTCATCATTTACTCTGTTATTTCATCCTGTATTTAGAATGCGGCCATTTATACGCTTCAAAAATGATTTAAAAAAGCACCTTTAAAGAATAATAAAAGTGGTTCAGATGACTTGTACACTAATATTCCAAGTCAAAACATACTTTGAAAAATATCTAATTGTTTTAGCCACTCATTTCTTATTTCTTCTTTTGTGTTCTGCAGAAGAAAGTCATACAGGTTTGAAATGATATATGGGTAAGTAAGTGATCATTTTTGATTTTCATGTTCATTCACTGATAATCTGTCCATCTACTGAACATCTCAAATTTAATTTCCATTAGAGTATATTCTTACCATATATACAATAGACAACTGTTGTGTGCACTACAGCATACCTGAAAACAAACAAACGCATGATTATAGATGATGGGTATAAAGCGATTTCTGTGAAACATTAAGCTTGATCCACGTCTGAGAGGAGTTGGGTAAATGATTTGGTCATGTTGGAGATTCCCAGCAGTGTTCTGAGTGTGAATAGTCATAATGTCAGGACTGGCAGACAGAGACAGCTGTACAGAGTCTGATGTGACTGCTTTGCAGATGTTACCACAGACACACTCCAACACTCATCTGGACACCTGACCCCGTGAAAGGACTCCCATAGTAATGGCCACTTTAAAGTGCTCCACGTCAGCCCTGCACGAATGCGTGCTGTTTTTCAAGCCGTTCTGAGGAAGAACATTCATATATGCCATAAATATTGCACTGAAACGCTGAGAGGTTTTATATCAGCGCAGTGAGCTGATTGGAGAAAGGGCTTCCCAAACAGCTGAGCAAATATTAAATTCTGCTGTAGTCATGGCAGATTAATGCACATATTTGGGATAATAGTCCTCCACTTTGGAGCTTTGGGTTCTCTGAGGGAGGGAGGATTATGGGAGAAAGAGGAACAGAGAAAGAAGGATTATAAATGATTCTGTCGTTCTCTGAGCCAATTTCAGTTCTTTCAGATGCCCAGAGCAATATCTAAAGAAGACATAATTCAGTCACACATGTATGAAATGACACTCTTTCCAACATGAAATGAAATGCCGGCATTAAATATCATCTTGATGTGTTAAACATTAAACCAAATGTCTTTAGTAAGCTTCTCACATACAGATTCTTCTGCTTTCCTGATCACATACCTTGAACAGAAAGTGATAACACATTGAAAAGCAATCAATTGGGCTTACTTACTTAAACTGAGCTGTTGTGGCCATGTAGGGGAAGAGAGCAGAAATCAAGCTGTCTAACCCTGTGTTCAGTTATGACAGAAAAATGGCCGCAGAAAAAAACAGAGAGTAAAATCTGCTGAGAGGCTCTCTATAAACAATCACAAATATTTACGGTGGACCTCACAGTGAACCGCATAGCACGGCTTCGTTGGCTCTCACACTTGTATTTGCTCTGTAAGCACAGGTGATTATCAAACATTGATTGCCAGGATCACTGATGTTTTAAAAGAAGAGTTCACCCAAAAATAAATATTTTGTCATTATTTACTCATCCTCATGCTGTTACGAACCTGTATGCTGTCTTTATTTATTTATTTTGCATGTTGGTCACTATAAATTACTTACTTATTTCACATTATTACAGCATGCTATGGAAGCCAGTTTCTGCCACATAATAAAAACCATTAAAAAGCAATTGTGACTTTTTATCTCAGATCTTTTTCTTAGAATTGCAAGTTCACATCTCACAATCCTGCCTCGCAATTACGATTTTATTTCATAAGACTTTTCTTCTTAGAAATGCAAGTTATAAATTCCAAATTGCAAGATATAAACTCTCAATTATGCATTTGTATTTCACAACTGCAATTTTCTCAGAATTGCAAGGAAAAAAGCCAGAAATGCAACATACTGCATCTACTCAGAATTGTGAGATAAAAAGTCACAGTTAACTTTTTTTATCCCATGATAGAAACAAGTTTCCATAACATACAGGTTAGAACAAAATGAGAATAAACAAATAATGACAAGCGTTTTATTTTTGGTTGAACTATTCCTATTATAAGTTAATGCTGAATTCTCTTTCCCTTTAAGGAGAAAACTAAGCTGAATAGCAAACAGGGTTGTGTTGGGATTAGATAAGAATGACAATAGCAATTTACACTCCAACCATGACAACTGGGAGTGACTGGAGGAGCAGGCTGAAAGCCTCCTAAGGCAGCAGACTCATGTGGATCTGTCTGCAACTGGATTGTTCTAGAATGACTAAAGCCACATCCTAATGCATAAAAGAAAACTACAATATAAACCACTGCTCATGAGCAGCCTGCCTAAAATACAAAACAGAGTGTGTGGCCACAATTTCAATTTTCAAAAATATATTCTCTTATAAACCACAGACTTACTTTCTAAGCTGTCAGAATATATATATATATATATATTCACAGCATAAGCTCATGCATAAGCAAAGAAACAAACAGAACAAAGACCTTTTCATCTCCTGGGTTTCAAATGTGATTTCTAATCCAACGCTGAGACACGTTTGAGCCTCCCAGTGCATTGTAGTCATCTGCACGACCGCAGTTTTCCTTCACCACAGCTCAAACTAATTACCAGACGTACTTCACAAGCCAAACAAACTGCGGCCTGCATTCTGTCTCTGATACTGCGTAATGATACATTTCCCCTTTGACACTTCACAACAAAACAAACACAACTGCTTTCCCTTGTACTTTCCCTGTAGCTTTAATAAGTGTAGTAGAGCACCATCCTTTAAAAACAACAACAACAAAAACCAATATCATGTACCCATATTAAGTGGCCTTAACAACTATGTACTTACATTTAAATTAATAATTTGGTACAATGCACTTATTGTGTACATACATGTTTTTACATTGTCCTTATATTTTAGCATTTAATTTCATCTGTAATTAATTTCTGTAATTAGATTTATAATTACACAGTTGACCCATCCCTTACACCTTAACCCACCCTTAAACCTACCCATACCAACAAACCTGTCCCTATCCTTACACGTATCCCTCCTCAATAGCAGCAAAAGTGTTTTGCAATACAATATGAACACAATAAGTGCATTGTACTTAATCTTTGATGTAAGTACATAGTAGTTAAGGCCACTAAATATAAAGTGGGGCCAATATGATTATTAAAATTGTAAATATTTAACCATTCATACAGACTTATTTCATTAGACTTCATTCAAAAGGACACAAAACTATTCAGTTCTGCTACAATGTTTTCTTCCAGCCTAAAGCATTTGGAGCACTTATGCCTGCCAAAATTGTGAAACAGGAAAAAAAGAGACAATTGTGGAGAATGGATAGGACAGTTTTATGGTTTTTTAAGAGGAAAAAAAAAACAGTGAGTCGGATGAAGGGAAGAAAATGTGGCTTCTTTTCCTGCTGCATTCTTTCCTTCATCAGGAATTCACTGAGGTTTTGGCAGGCAGCTTTATATCTCCTTCACTTGAAGGAGGACAGATTGTATGGAGAGTGCTGGGATAATAGTACAGGAGACTGAGCTGTAAATCAACATACAACTTTTCTACTCCATCTATTCATAAATAACAGCCATAAGACTGGGTCAAAGCAACCTCACACTACTGGTGATTTAAAAAAAAAACAGCACATAAATAAAATTCTCGTATTACACACAGCCTCTTCCAGATTTTGTTTTAATGTGCTTTACTAATCTCACTTTTGGTATTTCAATATATTTCAAAGAGCCCTGCCCGGACAAGGTTTTTTTCTCGACTTCTTTCCATCTGATGTGGATTCCAGCGCTGTACAGCGAGCATCGCTCCTCTGGGGCACCAGCAAGACCAGGCTCATCACAACAGCACTGTTAATGCATGTCGGTGTTGCAGAAGATTTGTGCGTGATCTCAAACATTTAGTGTCTGGCCAAAGAAAACATCATCCCTGTCCATGACAGCAGGAATCTATCTGAGAGAAGCTTATAAAAACAGAGCGACGGCGCTATAAAAGAGTGGATTGTGACAGCGAGTTTGTACCAGCAACAAAACCAACATCCCATCCTCACATTAATCTGCTCAGAACAGCCGCATTTGACACCAGCTCGGTGCTCTATTCAGGACAAAGTTCAAAGATCATGGGCCTGTTACAAGACAGTTACACTTGCATACTGACACTATGGGAATAAAGCTCTCTAGGGCCTTCCCATACTTCACAGCTAAAGTGAGTAAGCTCTTTTCTACACTGCAAAATTGTTTTGTCATGTGGACGAAAATGTGCTTCAATTGGTTTATTCTAATAAGAATATTTTATATAACCAAGTAGGTGTCATTTGGAACAGATATTGTTTTAGTTGTTCTATAATAAAGTCATTTCCCCCCTTTTTTTAAAGGAACCATTTAGCCAAACATGAAAGTTTGCTGAAAATGTACTCACCCTCAGGTCATCCAAGGTGTAGATGACTTTGTTTCTTCATCTGAACAGATTTGGAGAAATTTAGCGTTACATCACTTGCTCACCAATGGATCCTCTGCAGTGAATGGGTGCCGTCAGAATGAGAGTCCAAACAGCTGATTAAAAACACCACAATAATTCACAAGTTATCCACACGACTCCAGTCCATCAATTAACATCGTGAAGTGAAAAACTGCGTGTTTGTAAGAAACAAATCCATCAAGAAGTTAACTTCAAATGAGTCTCCTATCCATAATATTGCTTTCTCCAGTGATAAAGCTCAGGAGAGAAATACTCACAGATCGAGTACTGTTCAAGCCAAAACAATTCTAAACAAATATTTCAGTGGATTTTGATGTGAGACATCAAGAGGGGATGGACTTTTTCAGGAAGGAAAATGCAAAGCTAAATTTCTCTATATCTGTTCCAATGAAGAAACAAACTCATCTACATTTGGGATGGCTTGAGGGTTAGTATATTTTCAGCAAATGTTCATTTTTAGGGGTCATGCCAAGTTCAAATGGCTCTTTAGAAGTATAGTTCATCTGAACATGAAAATCAAAATGATTTGTTCTTCGGGGACATCAGACTTGATGCTTGCTGTCACATTTTACTTGAGAGCTACACAGAAGATTTTCTGTAAATAATGGAAACTAGCTGTTTGCTTTCAAGCTTGTTCTTCACAGAAAGATTTTTTAATGCTACAGCTCTGGTGCATGAAACTTTGATCTGAAAACAGATGATCTAGTGTTTTAACAGTGATCTGGGCTTATGGTGCATGAGGTGTTGGATTTTTAAACGCCCCATATGTTGCTAACAGGAGACTCAAGCAGCATAAATGAGCCACACATAAGAAATCCAGTTTCTGTTGTGCAACGTTAAAGTTAAATGATGCAAAGATGTGCAATAAATGTCCCGCACTGACTTTCTGTTATTCTCTTGTGTATCCAACTTTAGCTCAAGAGCAGGCACAGCTGTAAACAGTGCTCAGACTCTAAGATCAGTACTGCTCCTTTTTAATTAATAGCATGAGGACTCTGAGACTGAGATGAGATGATGCAAAGACTGGGCTGCAGCTGCGTGTCCTCTTGTTCAACCTCTATCTGTTGTCCATTTAAGCACAAAATCCAGTGAGAGAGCCCAGTCTCCCTAATATTCTGCCAAGCACAGGCTAATACATCCCCCCTCCCCAGCACATCCCCAACATCGAATTCTCAGAGCCAACAATTTGCATGCTGGAGACTCCCAACATCTTTAAAAAACTAAATCTAGCTCATCCTTCTACACTTATATGAGAAATGATGAAGATAAATGAATCATCTTCAGGAGTTTAGATATTATGTACTGCTGCCAGTGCAGTGTCTGGATTTATGATGAAGATCCAGTGCCACTGAGCAGGCCAGTTCTGAAACCGTTAACAGTCAGTGAGGACCAAATGCGAAGCAGCTGTTATTATACAATACTTCCTAAATGACCCATAACAATCGCCTCAGGGGGACTGGCACAACCTGGGCAGATTGTAAACCACTGACCTTACAGGTACAATCCCATCTGAAGACTTCCTAAGCCAATCTGCAGTGAAGGTGTTGCAGATTTATGTGCATAGTTTTCCAGGGTGTTGAGTGAAGAGGATGCTGAAAGCTGTCAAACTCAACTTCTAAGCTTGGCTTTAAATTCTATAAAAAAAATAGCACCATTTAGTTCCATTTTAAGTTTCTTACAATAACTGAGTTTTTTAGCATTAAGAAGAGAGAAGTCAAAATGTTTTTTATGGTAATCAACATTGTGCCACAAATGCTGACAAATTTGTTGCGTTGAACCAGTTCCATTTGTATTGAATCCGAAATATTGAGTCACTTCTGTGACTCGTTACATTTGACTGTGAAGTCTGAAATAGCCAAAATATTTTATCCTTGTTTGCAATAATCAAAACAAGCTGATATGAATCTATAGTCAAAGCTGACAATATAATAAGCTTGGCAAAAATTTGACAGCGCAGCAAGATTTTGTACAACAGAATAAACTTCTGAAAATGGAAAATTTGCAGAGCCTGAAGCAGAGTTTGGGAGACCCAGCAGCAGAGTTGATTTATTGCAGGGCGTCTCTGCTCTTTATGTGTCCATAGCACAAGGGCTTCCTCTGCGGTTTTTAAATGGAAGCCAACACCTAGCAGAACAACTGAACACCTGTGTGGGGCTGCACACATCCCCTTGAAGGTGTGTGCCTTGTACACAAAGGGATAAAGAGAAATTCACTTCAGGCTCACAATTCCCCTAAAAAGCTTCCATGAAACATTAGATTGAACCATGCACGTTCCTCATCTTCTTGGACGCTGATAAACATGAACTTCTGACATGCTCCTTTAATGGAAGAGTCATGAATGTTCTGCCAGTAAATGATAAAGTGAGCTCAATTTTCCACATCAGTCAGGAGGCGGGTCTGGACAAGTTTCACAGCACCCAACAGAATCCCCAGATGTAGAATAAGTGGCCCCTGTGTGCACACTCAATATCACGCGAGTAAGAGTGTTGATATTCAGACCAATGAGTGTAATGTTGCTTTTATAGGAAAGTTCAATAAACAAACTTACATTTTAGAAACAATATTGTTTGTCCAAATTAAGCCAAAGCAGAATCGACCTGTGTGTCCCTGAGCATCACTCGCTAGCGGGGTTTCATTCCTAAATGAATCAAAACAAATCGTATGATTCAGTGACTTGCTCATGAAGCCACTTGTCACCACCTAATTGTGTAACAATGTAACCTGCAGAAAATCCCCACCACGAAAAATCAACAGACCCGACTGACAGACTGTCTACAATCTGCAAACACCGAAAAGCGGATTGATACAAACACAAACAGTGAAAAGTCAGAACGCTTTATAGAACATTGTAGGAAATATGGTTTAGGAATATGTTACCAGGATGGTTAAACACATAGGAGAGTTCTCAAGCCAAGATATAGTCAGGCACACACCAACTCTACAAAATCTCTCAGCTTGGAGAGAAGGAAAAGGAGTGACTGCTTCTACTGCATGCTGCCCATACAGAGACACACACACTCCAAACAAAAGAAGCCAATCAATCATTCAATACACCTGGACCTAGCTCCTCCCATCACCGGCTATGTTTAACAGCTTGGAACCGGCTATTCTTAACAGCTTGGAACACTGCACAGCCAATCAAATTCGAGGCTCGGAACTAACCGTTTGATTAGTTATGAAACTTGTGTGATAGTGCAGTTTTGTCTCTTGTGATTTTTATTTAGCATGCACATTTGTGAGTATGACTGGTTATAACCCCAGATCATAAAGCTATATTGGGATAATTTACTTTTCAGTGAGAAAATTCATTACTTTTCCACGACATTCTAATTTATTGAGATGCACCTGTAAGCATTTTACATTTAATGTTTATAAACAGAAAACTGCAATGAGCTATTATGAAACTAATTTTACTCACTAATTAATAAGGTGGGAAAGTTGCAGAGATTCAGTTATGTACAAAGGGAAATTTCAAGATGAATTAGAAAACATTAACCACAAGTATTACAGTGCAGGAAGGGTACAAAGACTGAACATTACAAAGCTGTTTTGTACAAATCATCAGGATATAAATCAAATTCAATAGGAATCAGTTATGTCTTTGATGAGCACATAGAAACTGCATGCGAAACACAAGGAACACAAAAACAAACAAAAAACAAGGAGACTAGCAGAAAGCACTGATGTTGTTGTGACAGAAAGTGGTGGGAGAGGCTGAATTAATATCATATGCTTGCTGCATATAGTATATTTTGTTCAAAATTGCCTGTTGGCCATATGAAGCACAGATGAGTCTAGTTTCAAAACATAAAGACACCCAGTGAACTGAATACAAAAATGTAATCTTAATTCTATTTAGTTCAATGAAAGGCAGCAAATTGATGAATCTATATTTCTCTTTGTTTCTGTTTGCCCTTTTATAAAACATGGTGAAATATAAGGTAAAGTAACTGCCCCCCCCCCCTTAATTCGGGATCCAACCTATGTTTTTCTCACTTTGGCTGGAGCTGCAGTACAGAACATCCGTGGAGCAGCAGAATGCCTAAGCGAGTCCAGAAAGCTTTCAGCACTTTGTAATCCTTCAGTTCTTTTCCTAATGACTGACCTTAAAGCTACAGGGTTGTGAGAGATATTGTGCTGTGGTAAAACAGCAGGGCAGCATGGAAACATTAATGTGTAAAAAAAAAAAGTGATTCCAGCCATCATCAATTATAATTATTTATAATTTGCAGAAAGACTGGAAATAAACTAAAAGTTAAAATTAAAGAGCTCAGAAATAAATCCTGCAGCTTTGTTTAAAGGGGTCATGTGATGCGATTTCAATTTTTCCTTTCTCTTTGGAGTGTTACAAGCTCTTGGTGCATAAAGTAGATCTGTAAAGTTGCAAAGACTAAAGTCTCAAATCCAAAGAGATATTCTTTATAAAAGTTAAGAGTCAACCACGCCTACCTAAAACAGCTCGTTCTAACATGCCCCCACATGTCTATGTCATTATCTGGGAAGATTTGCATAACGCCACCCAAATGTTCACACAAAGAAAGAAGGCGTAACTTTTATTCTCGCCTATAAAGTAGTATTGTTGCTGCCGCCATGTCGTGTGTTTCATTGTGAAAGCGAAACTACTTTGTTTGGTCTTCCAAAAGAGGACGATATCCGCTTCGTCATGCCTAGAGTTGATCCGTGCTGGTCGCTGAGGAAATACATCAACTTCGCGCTGTGGATCGCCGGATCGGCTTTCACCGTGGACGAAGCAGAGTCCAGCCCGGGGTCGTCACATGTGGTTGCCGCTCCTTCGTCGAATCCGCCGGCCGCACCATTCTCAAGCCCCGCCGGCCTCCGCTCACTCTAGCCCACCATGTGTGACGCTGTGTGTTTCGTTGTGAAAGCGACGCACTGGATGCAACAAATGCCTCGTTTATAATGGGTTTTAATGTTTTTGTCTCGTCGCTAGCTCCGGCCGGGACACTGCATCACAGTATGGTAAGGGGTGTAACATTTCCGTCACACGTTTGAGGTATTCGGCCAATCATAACGCACTGGATAGCTGCCCAATCAGAGCACACCTCGCTTTTCAGACCGATGAGCTTTGTAAAAATCTACGTGTTTCAGAAAGGCGGGGCATAGAGGAGAAACAATAATGTACAGTATGTGCAAAATAATGTTTTTTTTTACCTTAAACTGCATAAACACATTTCATTACACCAAATACACAACATAATGTTCTTTTTAGCAACATCATATGACCCCCTTTAATCTCAAACATGCACTTGTTTTTGGATTGTGTGTCCTGCAGAAATAAATGGAGATTAGACGTCTAGATGACCTTTAGCGGTCTTGTGACCTCCTCCTGTGACTTAAGTAACATATTTCAGCACACGGATGGTTCACACTTTCTTTGGCATAAAGATCTCACACTTACTGGAAATGCAGATCATCTGTGAAATCATTGAGGAGCTTTATTAAAATGTTTTAAGCAACATACAGAAACTAAATCTTTTATACACCACTAATGGACTTTTAGTGCTGGATGACATAATGGCATGACAGACTCCAGGGACCTAAAGGTTGGCAGTCCACTTGGTTCGTGAAAAACATCCCATGGTTATACAATGTGAGAAATAATTCGGCAAGCTCACTGAAGTCAGAATAGTGCTCCAAACAGGCTGCCATAAATCATTCTGCGCACAGACGGAATTAGTCCTCATGTACCACATCTAAAAGCAAGACATCATATTAAGTCATATGCGTGTGTTTTTGTGTGGCAAGCTGCTTTCATGGGTTGGATGGATCCACTTTAAATGCCTGAGAAAGATTAGAAAAGAGGAATGCAAACAAGCACACAACACAAAAACCTTATGATAAACATAGCAACTGAGCTGCTGCTTGGTTTAGGCACATGTCTGTATATTTTGTTTAGTGAAAACCTAATGAAGAGTTATGGATGATGGGGGTGATGTTTTTTGTTTGCAGCGTGGAGATGATAAATACAAAGGATCCCCAGACATGCGGTTACAATTAAGATCTTAAGCCACAAAGAACACACAAGCACAAACATTTTAATGGCTTTGATCTTGTTTTAATCAATTCTAAATATGTACAGTAGGGTACAAAATCTGACCTTTTGTTTGTAACAAAACTGGCTGTATCCGAAACTGCACTTCCCTACTATGAAAAACGTATATGTCCGAATTCCCAGTATTCATGAAAGAGCAAGCGAAAAGTACCTGGATGACCTACTATTTCTGGTGAGATTCAGGAAATGCATATCTGATGGACATGAGGCCAGGGAGAGGATAATGGCAGTGAAGAAACTCAAAAGATACTGGTAGGTCGCATGACAATGACAGCATGCAATTTCAAAAACAGCCAATATCATAATGAGTGAGTCATTGAATTATTCACTCAACAAATTCCTTAACTCAACTCTGATTTAAGAACAAAACACCATGGCTGATTTCGTGGTTGAGCAAAAATGGACAAACTAACTGGCTATATTGTGTCTAAAATGTAATTTAGTCAATTGTTTTATTATTCAAACTTTTTTCAATATAGTCATATAGTGTAATGCATTGCAAATGTGGACACTAAATTTAGCAGTATGTAACAAATTATACAGTAGTCAAAAGCAAAAAATATCACAAGACAGGCAAAAGCAGTCAACTGAAATCAGTATAAAAGCTCAAAACCAAACAAATTCTCTGTGGTCTGAGCTTCTCCTTATATGTGACTGACCCCCTTAGCTGGAAATCTCCATAGTGATCCCGAAGGCTATTCGCTGAGTGTTTGGCTCCCTCTCATCAGTTTTATACTGAGGGTTGTACATCTTCAGCACCATCAACTCCAGAGAAGCCAGTGCTCCTAATGCCAACTCATTACACAAAGAAAGACAATTAGGAAGAAAATGTTCCAAAACCTCAATAAAAACAACTTGCTTAAAATTCACACATCAGCTGTAAATAATTTGCGTGGCAGCAAACCGAGAGCACTTGTGCTCTGATCTTCTCTTGTTAAGGTCTCATTATTTTCTTCACAACTTTTTAACAAGGAGAAAATTATGTTTGTTTGGTTTGTAAACCCATAGCAGTGAACACAAAAATGCATTATTCCTTTTCCCCCCTAAAAACATTCTGGAATTGTGCCATTCCTGAGATGGAGACCCCCTGAATGCCTGCCGTAAAGAAAACCAGGCAATGGGGCTCTTGAAGGGCTCTAAAAACCACTTTGACAATTTAGATGCAACAACCTGACACTTGTTTGCTGTCTTCCAGCTTTAAAGAACAAGTGTCTTTGAGTCTAATACAAAATATATATACTGTATTTCAACACCATGTTGTCAATGACAGGGAAAAGTCTGTTCCAAATTATAGCAAAGACAATTATACATTTGTAATTTGTGCTGAATGGATGTTAAGGTCATTCAAACAATAAGCCCTCACATTTTATGTACAAATTTCCCATTTCAACCCAAAAAACATAATTTTTATTACAACAAAATTGTAGCACATGAGGATAAGTGATAATACTGAGATGGCTGCATGACAGCTAACAGAACGAACAACAACAGCTGATGTTTATCACACTGCTGTACTAAAACAGTGTTAGAAATTCTCCACCCAGAATGCTCTGAGGCACATGTCTGCAAATCCTTTTGAGCTGGCCTCCCTCATTCACTCTCCGTCCATCGCCACGAGGTACAGAGCTCACATTGTTATTAAACGGCCCTCCCTACAGCCCTCCCTTCCTTCCTCTCCTTTTTTTTTCAGTGGCATGTTATTGAACTTAAGGGACCACCTGGTAAAATAAACAGGCAAATAAAAGGGGAGATGTAACAAAGCCTCCCTAGCCTTGCCATGAAAATAAAGAGGCCTGTCCATTCCCCTCCCACTCCAGTCAGGCAGCTCCAGCTCACGGGTCTTATTTAACAGATTTTCCTATGTGAAACCGCAGCCGTATGCACTCGTGTCATTCTTATAATTGAGAAAATGGTTTCTGGAGGAGCTGGGGTGAGCGATGAGGGGCGTGACCTTTAGTGCAGTCACGAAACGTAAATGTGACGTTTTTCACA